ATCTGGCAAGAAGGTGAACTCCCTGGTGAATTTGGGAGAGTTGCTTAAAAGGATAAGAGGGACCAGGGGCATCATTGGTTTATCCTCTAGCTCTTTTCTGTCTGATTGCCTGGAATGTTGGCTCCACCACCATTTTGTGCCAAGAGGTTGCCAGGAGACTGGAAACCAAGCACCAAGAATTGGCAGTGATGGAGAGGACAGAGGCTGGGAAACCCCAACACTGAGTGCCTGCTGATGTCTTTCCTTGGTGTAAGTGGGCAACACACTGCATATTTTGCTTAAGCCGCTGCTATTTCCAGCCCCACCTCTTGCATTAGACACAATATGAGGCATGTCTTCAGGTGATCAGGCAGGGCTATCTTCATGCATGAATCCATATATATAGCATGTATTTTGCACAGAACATGATACAAAATTAAGCTTAATAACTATTGCAGTGAATGGATAAATAAATGAAGAATCAGAGTATGACTGACTTGCCAGAGAAGACTCCTTTACCCTAGACCAGCCGTGGGCAAACTAAGGCCCACGGGCTGGATCCGGCCCATTTGAAATGAATAAAACTAAAAAAAAAAAGACCGTACCCTTTTATGTAATGATGTTTACTTTGAATTTATATTAGTTCACACAAACACTCCATCCATGCTTTTGTTCCGGCCCTCTGGTCCAGTTTAAGAACCCATTGTGGCCCTCAAGTCAAAAAGTTTGCCCACCCCTGCCCTAGACCCAACAATGTGTTAGATAATTAAACTGATAGAAGTTGTAAGTGAAAAACTATGGCTTCACTTTAGAATAGATGATTACATGTTATTAGCACTAAAAGAACAATTATACCTTTAAACAGAAATCTGAGGAGAAAGCCTCACTCTGAGGATGAAGTGCTAGAATTTCTGCACAGCAATTCATGTTGTTTCGTATAATGGCATCACTATGTAAGGAAAAACACACTTCACTTTCTGAGGAAAAGACAATGAATCTTTCATGGTGCGGTCAGAGGAGGAAATCTGTCTGTACCCCACACGTGGGAGCTGCTTGGCTGGGCCCCTGAGGCTCGCAAGGACTAGCTTCCTGACAGCTTTGTTCTGCATATCAACACAGCCAAAGTCAATTTCTCATGCAATGCAAAACAGCTCTCTTTGTTCTGTAAATTACTCATTTTTCCCCATGCTTTTTAAACAGAAAAATGACAAGTAGGAACTTGGAGAAAAAAAACAACTAGCCTCTAATTGGGAATTTCAACCACTAGTTACAAAATAGAACAAAATGCTTTATAAATCCAAAAAGGAAAAATAAAAAATTCATATAGATGCAGAAAAATGCCCTAAGTAAGAAGTGATGCCCACAATATCGAATACCAGCTTGTTGAAGAAGTCAGGGCCGAGTGGCCTGGGAAAAGAGGATGCCCTGTGGTTGCTGGCATGAGACATCGCCCAGATGTGTTCCAGGTTTAGGCTACTTGTACAAATGGGGACAGGAATGGAGTCACAGGGACTCACCTAAAGAGTCACAGGACATGACTGAATGGGTATTTTGGGAGCTGATGATCCTGTATGCTTCTTGGGAGAGAAATTGCATCTGGGGTTCAGGAGGAAGACTTCCACTGCATTTTCAACAAAATGAATATTTCAAAAATATTCTGTACCACTTGTAGTGGGTTGAATAGTGCCCCCTCCCCAAATTTACATCTCATAATATGACCTTATTTGGAAGTAGGGCCTTTGCTGATGTTATTAAGGAACTTGAGATGAGATGGCCCTGGGTTGGGGAGAGAATACCTTTCTGTTGCTTTAAGCCACAGGTCTGATAATTTGTTGCAGCAGCCACAGGAAAATAATACACCACTTTTTTTTTCTCTTTCCTAAATGATCTTGGTCTCTAGTAAAGAAGTCCACTTGAAATACAATTGATAAAATGAGTTAATTTCTTCCTTGCTTTCCATCTTAAGTTTGTACCCAACTAGTAAATATTTTAAATTTCTCATGCCATTGGGTCTTGTTGCAACCACTCACCTACCACCTGGCTGCTGTGGAGGCACAATCTATACATATAAAAGCCTAAGTGACTATTTGGCCCTTCGACCAGAAGCTATGACACGCACTGACCACTAGGGGGCAGATGTTCCAACCGGTAAGTTAGCTTGCTGCTGGGGTCCAGCTGATAGACCAATCGGGGACTGGGCAAGATGGGCCAGAAATGCCTGGAGCCCTCCTGCAGTCCCCCATGCACCAGTGAGATCCCTCGGCCTGGCCTGCACCCTCTCGCAATCCAGGACCCCTCAGGGGATGTCAGAGAGCTGATTTTGGCCCAATCCCCGCAGGTAAAGCCGAGGGACCCCACTGGTGCATGCATCTCTGCACCGAGCCTTTAGTACATTAATAAATGAGATGGTCGTTTTCCAAAAAGACTTTATTTAAAAAAATGGGTGAAGACTGGATTTGGCCTACAGAATGTAATTTGCTGCCTCCTGACCTAAACAATTTTTTTTTATTGAGCTGGAATTGTGGGGTTATAAATGCTGGTCCATCCATTATTGGGAAATAGATAAGTTGTAAGAAGGCTTGGTTGGCACACATGCTATGACCTTAGATCAAACAGAGATTCGTAATCCCAGGAGAGAGCGATTTAGAAATTTATCAATGCTGTGAGAACTCCAGGTTGCTAGCAATAATCACAGGTTCGTGTGGATATGGGCCTCATTGCTTCACTACACCCGGACTGCCTGTCCCTCAATATCCAATATATTCATTTATGTGGACATATATACCAGCACTGTGTGTCCTGCATAGCTGGATGCTCACAAGGCAAGTATACCTCATTCACCTGTCAAGGAGAAAATAATCAAAAAGGCGTGTGGTGTACCTATGTGTACACGTGTGTGTGTGTTTGTGTGTGTGTGTGCGCGCGCAGGTACATACATATATGAAACAGCTAAAGACCTAGACAAGTCCAGCATCCAACTTTACGATCCATGCTCTAGTGCCAGAGGCATTTGGGTCTGTTGGACGGGATGACAACCACCTCTTCAGAACAAAGTTGTGGGCTTGGCCTTGCAGGATGAGCTGGTTCAGAATAGCTAGAGAGGGTAAGAGGCTGCCTGCTTACAAGGTGTGATCATTTGAGTTTACATTCCCTTGCAGAGTGCCTACTGCATACCGGACCCTGTGGCAGACTAAGAGCAAGAGTGTGACTGAGAAATAGGTCCTCAGAACCCTGCAGGAAGGCTTCAATAGAAGCTTCTTGTCCAAGGCCCAACTCCGAGTAACGAGCAGAGCCAAGACCCCGACCAGGACGTGCGACCGCCTGCTTTCTGCTCCTGGGTCAGCAGTAGGCACAGCACCCACCTGCCACGCTGCTGTAACCACCTCTGAGCGCTCCCATCTTCAGTGGGTATGTAGTACGTACATACATGCACACATTACACATGCACATACACCTCAGACCAAAACCCCTTCATATATATAAACAATTAATTACCCTTCACTTAAGGACTGTTATCAAGGCCTTTCCTCCTCATCCTGAAGACGGGATTGCAGCAGTGTGGCAGACTGCAGACACAGGGCCAATCTGAGGCTGAATCTAGTTCTTTCTAAAGAACTTGCATTCTGATGTTGGGCGTTAAACTGGCCTTTCCTGGGCTCGGTCTTCTGTCCTCTTGCTAGCTTGCAAGGCTCTGACTGGACTAGATGTGGATAAAGAGTGAGATGTCTGGAAAGTAGAGTCAACAAAACCGGCAGGTCAACAATCTCAGAAAACAGAACGTTTACTTTTATTTTTCTTCGATAAGGTCACCCAAGGAAATGGCACAATCCTGCATGTTATTTTTACATCTGTCTCTGCTTATGCCTTGGGTGCGTTTTGCAGTAGATGTACCATCGCCCACGCCTCTTCACCCGGTAACAGTCCCGGCAACGCTTCTTGAGGACGGCCTTGGTCTTGAACCCCAGAGTCGGCTGCAGGAAGGGCAGGGGCTGGCAGGAGAGAGGAGAGGCCACTGCTGCGCTGGGCTCCGCACCTGCCGGGCCTGCAACACGCAGGGGACCCAGCAGGAGCGTGGAGAGCGCGCGGGGTGTCCTTGTGTAATTTGTCATTGTGTAACGACTCAGATGTAGGAGAGGGTTCACAGCAGAAACCACCATTTTCCTTATAAAAAGAGTTGCCATGTTGTGGCTGAATCTACGCGAGAAAGAAAAAAAAGTTGTTCCAGCCTCTTCCGCACTTCCTACTATTATAACTTTGTTTTCCCCATTCACTGTGGCGCAGGCGTGGAGGGGTCAGGGGCGCCACCACCCCCTGGTGCAGCGCAAACCCTGCCAGCCCCTCGGAGACGGGGCGCGGAGGGGGTGGGGGTGGAGCGTGGTGGTGGTGGGGGGGGCATTTGGAGAGACCGCCCTTTGTGGGAGCCCAGGCATGGCTGCGAGGGCCCTAAGCCTCCGACCCCGTTCAGGTTTAGTGATAGGCAGCACGGGGAAGAGCTGGCCTGGTGTTCGGGACCGGAGGCGAACCCGGCGGCCGGGCCGCTTCGCGGGCGCACACAGCGCGGGGCCTCCCAGGGGATGCGCACTAGCTGGCGCCCGGGCCTCGACCCCAACACCGGCAGGGGACGCTCGGGGCCCGCCCACCGCCCACCAGGTTCGGGACCCGGCCCCAAGCTGCCCCCGCGCCCTCTGACCGCGGCCCACAGGGGGAAACTGAGGCCACGTCTCTGGGTCAAGCCCTTCCGCAGCCCCGACCGCGCAGGCGCCTCCGGGGCAGATCCGAGCCCCAGCAACCCGCCGCCTCCCTAGTCCCCAGCCCCTCTGGATTCCCGGGGACCCCTGACCTGGGAAGAAGCGGCCCAGACCCGGCCAGCAGCGTGCCTTGTCCCGCGCCTGCGTCCCCGCCCGCGCCTGTACAGTGGAGCGGAGACGCCACCGCCGTGAGTCTGCGCCAGAAAAAAAAACACCAAAACGGCGGCGGGCCCTGCGAGCCTGTGCGCATGCGTCAGCGCTGGTGCGTCGACGCGCCGGGTCAAGGGTCAGCCCGCAAGATGGCGGCGGCAGTGACCTTCTGTAGGCACCTCGGCCGGAGCGGCGCCGCGGCGCTTAGTCTGCCCCGGGGAGTCAGGTGTTTCGGGGTGCGCATCGCGCCGACCGGAGAGAAGGTCACGCACACCGGCCAGGTAACCGGTGCGTCGAGGATCCCCGGTCCTTCCGCCGTCCTCAGTGCCCTAGGTCCTCCGTGTCCCCCGGTTCCTGGTCCCTGAGAGGGACCGCGGAGAACCGGCGGCGGAGTACCGTGCGGGTCCCCCGGGTCCCCCGTGTGACCGAAGCACGGTCGAGCTGCGCTTCTGTCGCCCCACCAAGCGGCGTGGATGAAAACGGGTGCCGCAGTGCTGGGGGTGGCGGAGCGTTTGAAATTCTGTGGGGTGTCCTTGAACTCCGAAATGAAGCTGATGCCGGTGTAGCTGTGGATCCCTGCGGGGCTTCTGTGGCTCGAGTCTCGTCATGTTTGTGTGATATTAAATAGTGCATTTAAATAACTTGAGCGTCCGCTGTAGCCCAAAACACAAACCCAGCCTTAGACTATAATCATACGATGAGAGAGTGAGTGCCCGTGTTATTAAAGTGTTACCAGCAGATTAGAGGGGACGTAAGCATCGGCCCCCTGAGAAGGAGGGGTGCGCCTCTGCCTGAGTCTGCCGCCTCTGCGCTCCCCCCGCAGCCTTCCAGCTCACATGCTCATTGTCATCTTAGGGATCCCGCTGAGAAATGTCCCTGGTTGCGCAGCTGTACCGTGCCCCGCATGTGTCTGATCGTGAATGGTGTAAATGTTGAGAAAAACACTTTTCTGTAATGTTTACGATTAACTGACCTCTTTCAGAATTAGGCTGTAAAAATCACATATGGTCTTTTTTCCTCCCAGGTTTATGATGATAAAGACTACAGGAAAATTCGATTTGTAGGTCGTCAGAAAGAGGTAAGTAAAAAAAAAAAATCTACTAAAAGAGAGGCAAGCTCTCATAAGACCTATATGTAACCGACAAAATATAAAAATTAATATGTATGATTTAAACAGTTTCCCCCCAATTTGTGACACCCTAGAACAGTGGTTCTCAACCTTCTGGCCCTTTAAATACAGTTCCTCATGTTGTGACCCAACCATAAAATTATTTTCGTTGCTACTTCATAACTGTAATGTTGCTACTGTTCTGAATCGTAATGTAAATATCTGATATGCAGGATGGTCTTAGGCCACCCCTGTGAAAGGGTCGTTTGACCGCCAAAGGGGTCGAAACCCACAGGTTGAGAACCGCTGCCCTAGAAGCTCTGGAATTCTGCATTTTTCTTAATGTTAAATGTGTCTGTTTCTGCTGTTTCTGTTTTGTTTCCCTTGCCCCCCCCCCCCCCCCCACCCCAGGGGTAGTTCTTTTTTTATATATAAATGGGAGGGGTCTTTTCCTTTATTTCTGGCCTTATACTCCTGAGACCCTCAGATTAAAGTAAGTTTTGTCCTCCATAATCACTTGGAGTCAGTCTGTTGATTCTTGTTAAGCCTCAGCTTTCTCTAAGTTGTGTTTCTCCTTCCCTTTGGTCTTGTTACATTGTCCATTCCCAAAGTCTGCTCTTCTACTTCCATCCTGCTTTGTGGGTGTCATAAAGTGCTTTGCAGGGGCAGTGTGGTGGAGATGGAGTTCAGAGCGCTGGGTGGGGCCCTTCAGAGCAGATCAGTCCCGGAGTGGACCCTGCAGCCTGGCCCCCAGCTTCCTATCACGTGCCTCCTGATGCTTTCGCAGGCACCTGGGTCTGCCACAGACTTTCTCTGCTGGGATTTCTCTTGTGGCCCTGGTTTCTGATTGCCATAGCAGAGGGCAACAGGGAGCAATTTAAAAACAAAGCAAAATCAGAGCTTTTGAAGGCAATAAGGTGCTGCCAGTGTTGCCTAATCCTTTACCGCTTTCCCAGCTCGGGGTCTCTGGGGCCTTTTCCTGCTTGGGATCATCCTCAAGTTGTGAAGGTGCACAGCACACCTGTGAAAGATGAGTTGGCATTCTGCTGTGGCTTTTGCTCTTATGACAAAAATTTGGTGTTTAATAATATTTTAAAATTGTTTGGGTTTCCAAGAGACATTATTGTTTTAGAAGACTGTGGGTACTAGTATCCTGGGAAATTGCACAGAAAGTACAGTTTCCATATGCCCCGTCTTCCCCTCACACAGTTCCCTTGTGCTACGTTTTTTACAAGTGACTGATTTAAACACTGGGTGAGAATTGATATATTAGTATCAACTCAAGCCCATAGTTTACATTAGGTTTTACTCTCTGCTGTACATTCTGTGGGTCTTGACAAATGTGTAATCTCTTGTATCTACCATTACAGTATCATACAGAGTAGTTTTATTGCCCAGAAAGTGTTCTGTGTCCATCTCCTTATCCCTGCTTTTGAGCATTTTCTCCAAACTTACTTAGTTTAAAAATTAATTTGGATGAAAACTTCAGTTTTTACTGTGTATATGCGTGTGTGCATACCTATGTTTAGCTAATTATAATTACTTGTATTAGTGTTAAAAACACCTGATATTCTAAATAATTGAACTGGGGCTTTTAGCTTATTTTAAACTTATAAGTTTCCATTAATTAGGTCAAAATTTTACAAAACATTGATTATTCAACTGAGTTATTATTTCCTCCTTGTTCTAGTTTTGATATTATTTTGCAGACTTATATGTATATTTTATCTTTAATAGATTTAAGCTCGGTTTGACGTAAGGGAGTAAACTTTCCATAGGAACTGTCACTCCCAAAAACATGAGTTTTAAAAAAAAATAGAACAGCTTACTGACAAATGAATGACTTAAACCTAAATATTTTTAGGCCCAGATGAATTGATCAAGAGGTAACTATAAAGATAGGTTCATTTTGTGTGTGTGTGTGTGTGTGTGTGTGTGACCTCTTAGTGACCCAGAGGACTAATTTTTACAGTGGTTGGGCAACTTAAGGTCTGTGACACACCATGTACTTGGGAAAACACTACATTTACAGCCAAGGGTGTGGGATGCTGTGACATGTTTTCTGTACTGATCTCCTCATGAGGTCCAGTAATGCTTTCTTTCTTTCCTTGTCCCTTCATGGGGCAGGGCGACACGCTGCAGCCCTGAATTTTAACAGAATCGGAAGCTGGGCCGTGGTTGGGTGCTGTGACTGGGCGTTGACTCCTCGGCTCTTTGTTTTCTGCGGTTGAGCTGAGTCCCAGGATGTTAATCATGGGAGGTCAGGGTCGCCCTGGAGCTGCAGTCCTGAATGACAGGGGCAGTCCAGTGTCAGTCTCAGACGTCAGGCATCAGTTGCCCTTCCCACAGGAGACAGCCTGTTTCTTGGACTGCGTGATGGGAGTTTGTTAGTGTGGCCTTTGTGACACATTTGTCACTGAGGTAGACACCGTATTATTTACACCCTGAGGCTTCATTTGTATGGCGCGTGGCTTGCGCGGGCCATCACTCACCATGTAGACCGCTGTAAGGTATGGTGTGAGGGAGCCGGAGCCCTTGGCGGAGGCATTGTGCTTAAAGGAGCTTGTAAAACACCCTGATGGCAGCCCTGCACACTTGTGGTGTTTGTTTTAACATCCCCACATTTCCTGGTAACTTCCTGCTGTGTTTTTGAAAATAGAATTTTAAGGAAAAGCTTTACAAAATCATACTCTATCACTGACAGAGCTTTTGAAAAATAATTAAAATTTTCCAAAATGTTGTCCACATCGTGTGGGTTTAGAGCATCAGAGTTCTGGTGGGGGTGTTTGGTGTCATCCGTGTTGGTGGCAGGCGGGGCCTTCTCTGTGTGTGAGTGGCTCTGTCGCTGGACTGTGTGTCCTCTGGACAGTCGGCTGGCTTTGGAAGTTAACTGAGCTTGACTGTGTTCTTCTTATTTTAAAGTTTTATTAAACTTACACCCCCCCGCCCCCTTATTTGTAAGGCTTTATCTACACCTAGTCTGTGTTCTTGTCTTCCCTAGAGCAGTAGGCCTCTGGTGTAGGTGAGATTCTGGAAGCCACATGGCCCTGGGAGCCAGGACTGACCTGGCCCAGGAGTCCTCACCCATAATGATAAACAAGTACTGACATTATTCCCAAGCCCAAATCGCAGGATAACCTTGGCCAACGCTTATTAATGTGATTTTTAGCCTCGCACTGCCCCACCTTGTCTCCATTAAGCATCTCTTCCTGTAAACTTGTGATGGCCTTTGGGAGACCTGAGAGGGGAAGAATGGTGTTGCCCCTCTTACTGTCCTCTGTGTGGTGTGTTCCAGTTGAAAGATCCTCTGGCCTCCAGAGGAGGGTGACTTTCAAGATGTGGTCTTGCTGTTGTCATCCACCCTGGGTTGGGTAAAGATGTGGAAGAGATGCTGGGTTTAAGAAGCACCATCAGGCAAGCTAATCCTTGGACACAGAGGGCGACTGTAATTGCTGTAGATGGCCCCAGAAAGGAGGAAGCCTGGAGAAGGCACCACTGGGTTTCTTCACAGGATGTGCAGTGCTTGGAATAAAGCAGCCACAGCCCTTGGGCATCGGGCTGGTGACCAGGGGGCATGCGTAGTGGGGCTCTGAGGCCCACTGGGCACTGAGGGTCCGGGTTCCCTTCTTTCCCTTTACATGCAGACACTGATGCTTCGCTTCTACAGTTTCCCCAGCGTCATGTGCTTTGTCTCCTGTGGTCACCGAGGACAGCTCTAATTGAGGCAGGTACAGCCAAGACATGGCTCCTGTCTAGTGCCCACTTTGCCACAGTAGGGCATTGTCGGATAAATGACTTGCCCAGCCAGGATGTTGGAATTGCTGTTGTGACTATTCAGTGAGGGGCTAGTTCAGCGATCCTCTCCTCCCTTGTGCCTGGTCACTCAGTTTCCACAGGTGCCTCAAGATATTTACCAAGACATCACGCCTGTTCCTGCTGTGATCACAGCAGCCTGCTCCCCACCGTCCGTATCGAGTCATCAGATCTGAAAGTGACCATGCACACCTCCAGGAGGTGTTGACAATGACAGCATCATCTCACCTGAAACTACAGAGGTTCCTTTCAATTCAGTATCTAGGTGGCCTCAATATTCTCGACTGTGTCGTATTTTTAAAAATCTCACAGCTTGTTTGATTGAGAATCCAAATAAGTCCCATGCATTGTGGTTTCTTTGATCTTTAGGTTCCCGTGACCCCCCACACATACCCAGGTTTTTTTGCAGTTGTGATGCGTCCAAGTTTCTCTAACCTTGGTTCCTGTGACACACACACACACCTTTCCTTCCTCACCTGTCACAGGACCCGGGTGTTTCTTCTGTAGGGTCGTCCACAGCTGGCTCTGGCTGACTGCACTCTTTCCGTGCTGCTTGGCACCTCTGGTCCTCTGCGTGTGTATGCTTGGGTTGGATCCAGCTGCTTTGTCAGATCAGACTCAGGTTCTTTGTCTGTGGTAACCCTACTGGGCAGAACCAAAAGTGGTGGTTCTGGTTGTAGAGTGGACAAGCGTCTCCAAATCATTAACTCACACAGGCTGTAAGGCATGCTGTTCTCTTATTAGTAGCATAAAAAAATATACAGAAAAACAACTAAACAAACAAAAACTTTGGTTATCTGGAGGAAAGATGAAGAAATGCTAGATTCTTTTCTGTTATTTACCAGTTTTAAAAATGATGAATTGATTCCCTATAGTAAGGAAATTAAAGAAGTTTAAAAATATCATTATGGAATCATGGATTCAGTGTAGTTTTGTGTTTCGGTCCTCTGCTGTTACAATTCCATTGTCCCTCAGATTTCCCATATCCATTTTATTCCAGGTTGGCGGTGTCCCCAGGTTGGCCACCCTTTTGACACACCTGTAGGGGTCCTTGCTGGCTTCATTCTCTCTGTCACAGACACACGTCTCCCATTCATCTGGAACATCTGTCCTGGACCTGGAACCAGCTGTTTTCAGAGTCCTGTTCCTTTAGTATGAAATGGTGGCAGAGATGGCGTGGACTCATTGCCACTGGGTCGTCACTGTTCCTATTCTTTCCCAGTGGACAGAGCTGTGAAACTGTGTGTGTAGAGAAAGAGTGATGGTAGGGGAAAGAGCAAATGATAAATGGGGCAGAATGTTAACAATCTGAGTCCAGGTAAAGACGAAATGAGAATTCTTGCGATATTTCGGTAAATTTGAATTTAGATACAATGAAAAGCTAAATGTGTGCATGCATATATAGATGTATTCATTAAATCAGGGGTCCTCAAACTTTTTAAACAGGGGGCCAGTTCACTGTCCCTCAGACCGTTGGAGGGCCGGACTGTAGTTTAAAAAAAAACTAGTCGGCTGCTAAGCAACAGGCAGCGGTGGCAAAAACACCCGGCGGGCCGGATAAATGTTTTCAGTGGGCCGCATGTGGCCCGCGGGCCGTAGTTTGAGGACCCCTGCATTAAATTATTTGCATGTTTTGACGATCTACAGTTATATTTAAAAGAAAGTGTATAGAATATAACTCTGCCTGTGCCAGCAGTACATGAATGTGTGGGGTGGCAGATTGTCTACATAGGTTTAAATTTCATGAAATCATTACATTTTTGTACTTACCTACACAAGGTTTTATCTTCTCGTTGCAGGTGAATGAGAACTTTGCCATTGATTTGATAGCCGAGCAGCCCGTGAGTGAAGTGGAGAGTCGCATAGTGTCGTGTGATGGCGGTGGGGGCGCTCTCGGCCACCCGAAAGTCTACATTAATTTGGTAATGTGACCCCAGTGCTCACCCATCTTTCTTTTCTGTCCTTTCCCTGCTCTTAGGATGGCCCTTGCAGTGTTCCTTTGACCACACATTCTCCCACTTGATCTTGCCTGCAAAGCCAAGTGCAGGGCTGAATACAGTGGCATATTTTCACCTGTGACGTGCTGTGCAGTGTACTTAATGTTGCCAGCACTGACTCTCCAGCTTCCTCTCAGACATGTAGGCGTCTGTCTTTCTCCTGTACCACCGTTTCTAAGCCCATGTTTCTTGATAAATAGAGAAGAGGAGTACTCAGGACATTAGAGCCGAGAAGGAAGCCACAGGCTAAAGCCCAGATGTGTAGGAAGGGGAGGGACGCTGGCAGGACCCACTGCCTCCCCTTCTGCTGGTGGTGTGAGTGAGCTTGGACCTCAGCCCCGTGGGGACCTACCCTCTCGAGTTAAGTTGCAGTCTGTGCTCCGGATGGGAGGGATTGAGCCAAGGGCAAGAAGCGGCTGTGCTGACACTTTATGCCCTGGAAGTGGTTCTCTGAGGTGACCCCGAGTTCCAGGGCAGGGCCTGAGGCTGCGGGAGGAGCTAGAGCTGTGCCCAGGCCCTGGGCACTGTCAGTTCCTAGCTCAGTTGTGACTCGGGTTTTACAGGTGTTTCGGGCTGACAGTGTGTTTAGGTTTTGTGTCTACTTTCAGTGTCTAATCTCTATTGGATTTGAAGTAGAATATGGAAATATGAAATCTTCCCTTTTGAATTTTTTCAGGACAAAGAAACAAAAACTGGAACATGCGGTTACTGTGGCCTCCAGTTCAAACAGCAACATCACTAGAGCAGACCAGGCCCCTGGGTCTTGGGAGGCTAAGCATGTGAGCATTTCAGTGTTCTGTTCGCTAAAGTAGGGAAGGTCCTCGTGCTGCCCGGGCGGTGTTTCTACTGTGAATAAAGGGCGTTGTTAAGGACTGCCTTCACAAGTGTGTTTCTTCCACAGAAGGGACTTTTGAAAATGGACGTCCCTTATAGGTGTGGACTGAGGGGTCCCCGCCAGGGCCCCTGCCAGGTGCTTTTGGAGCACAGCCTTTGTCACCACATCAGGCGACCGAGAGAAACGTAGAAAACTCTACTGTTATCTCTTTAGCTACAGTTTCAGCTTCCTGTCATTTACAAAACCTGCAGCTGCTGTGATCACACATGGTGTCCCCAATCCACCATTTCTAACCTTCAGCCACAGATTTCTTCTTAGAAACTATATGTCCAGACACAGTCTCTGAAATAAGTGATCTGGCAGCAGCTGCGCTCAGAGCCTGTGACTGTGGTTGGGTTTTCACAGTTCAGTTGAGCCCCGGCCTTCCCACTCTGAGCATCTCTGCGCACAGGGCGCGGGGTCCGCAAAGATACCATCCAGGTGAGGTGACCCCGGCTTCCCTGCACTGAGCATCACCAGTCCTGAGGCTGTTAGGAAGTCAAATCTACTTTCCCACAGAAACGGGGCTCCGTCTCTTAACACCACCCCTCCCTTCCCACTTCGTACTTGGACAGTAGGAGCCCTGAGGGCTGGAGCAGGGGCCCCTGAGGTCAGGGAACTGTCCATTTGATGTCATCAGCCACCCCACATGACTTTTGTAATGGATCTACCCTCACATCACAGAGCAGCTCCCCCAGGTCACAGTCCGCAGCTGCCAGCCCTCCACTCTGGCTGTGTAGACAGTGAAGAGAGACCCAGGAGTGAGGGCTAGGCCTCACCTAGGGCACTGATGTCACTGATGGATTACAGGGCCCCTGTTCAGTGCTATCCTAAAGGGCACCACAATGCCCAGGTGGGATGCCCTGAGCCCCCTCTTCTCTGCTGTGCCAGGGGTCCCACTGGGCCAGACACATGGGAAAGGGGCTCTGAGTTGTCACTTGGTGCGTATGCAATGCTCAAAGTTGCCTGGTGTGATGGCAGAAGGTGTTGCATGCATTGCTCTATCCCATAGAGGTTGGTGATTTACAGCAGCTGTTTACTGGGCACTGCAGGCACCTGGTAGTCCAGGGAGCAATGTGCTGTTTCCTGGGGCTGCCCTTACCAACCCTCACATGCCAGGTGCATCACACGCAGAAATCACTCTCATAGAGGCCAGAGGGCAGAAGTCAAGGTGTCCCTAGGGCCTCATGGGCCTCGCTTCCTCTGAAGGCACTAAGGAAGGATCTTGCAGGCCTCTCTCTCCAGCTCCTGGTGGCCGCTGGCTCCCCTCATCTCTCCATCTTCACATGGCCTTCCCGTGTCTGCCTTCATGTGGCCTTTTTATAAGGACACCAGTCCTTGGATTTGGAGCCCACCCTAACCCAGTATGACCTTATTACACCTGCAAAGACCTGATTTTCAAGTAAGGTGCCATTCTGTGGTTCTGGGTGGACATGAGTTTGGGGGACACTCCCCTAGATTGGGGACAGGATGCACTCACCTCTGGCTCATTCACGCACTCACTACTCCCCCTTCACATTCCAAAGTAGGTGGAACAAAGGCCTGGATCGAGTGGCCACTGCCCACAAGGGTGTGGGGAGGCTTGTTTGGGAGACCGCCGTCAGTGCTCAGCCAAGCAGGCTCTGAGGACCTGGGCCGGCAACCTCTTCAGGTAAGTGACGTGGCCGGGTCTGGCACTAAGGTCACTGCCCACCACCTCTCTTAGGACTCAGCAGAATGTGCACAGTGAGGCAGCTTCCCTAGGTGAGGGAAAGATAATTAGGGACCCCTCCTCTTTATGAAAACCCCCCTGAATAAACACAAAAATCGAGTAATTTATACAACAGTTACACCAACCCGTTAATATTGAGACATAAAAATGCAAGTAATTATTTCTGAAGCCAAGTGGGAGCAAATGGAAACCTGTTAGAATAGAAGCATTCAAATGCAGTATCTCACCAGCTGCACCAGATGCAGCAGAGGAGAGATGGAGGCCCCGCAGTGCGAGGCCTGGCTGTGCTCCGAGGGGTCCCTCTCCCAGCTCTGAGAACCACTCACCAGTGCTCATGTAATCATGTAGCCATAAGGGACAACTAGTGTCTGAGTCCAGCGAAGGGCCCTGACCTCCCGACTGCACAGCAGGCACTTTGTGTCCATCCCACTGTCTGTCTCCCGAGAGCCTGCCAGGCCATGTTATTTCTCAGTTTACAGGTGAGCAGACAGGAGGGTTGGCCAGGTGCAGCTCTGGGGCCTCTGTTTAGGGCACAGCCTTGTCCTGGCCCCTCTGAAACCTCAGTGGGATTGGTCGCTGCACAGACCCGTGTCCCACCCATCCACCATGTGGACTGTTCTCTTGGGTTAACTGAAAACAAAAGTAAAAATTATAACCACTTGACTTTTATGAAGAGGTAATGTATTATTTGTATTAAAATGACCAGTTTTGCACAAGCAAGTTTGTGTGCTGCACTAACGGGAGATGTCCCAGCTGTGAGGTCACACCAGGAAGCCTGCTGGTAGTCAGAAGTGGCATCATCAGTGGGCTCCACAGTGGGGCGGCACCCTCCTTGCCTCCATCCCCTGTGCCTGGCGCCTGTGCCCCCAGCCCCTTCCAGGGAAGGATGCCTTTGCCAGGGCTGGACGCAGGGAAGCCCTGCCGGCCATGAATTCCACCACAGGTCCCAGTGAATCGTGCAGAGACGTGGCCCTAAGTCAGAGGCCTACTTTCCAATCACAAATGTCTCTACAAAAGTCAAGTGACACTTGAGATGAAGAGAGTGACTGCTGGAGGGCCAGCTGTTTGTGGGCGCAGCCTCATCGCTGGGTGTTCAGGAAGCGCAGTGCTGCAGATGTCCAGTGACAGCTGTTTTCACAAACACGCACAGAATGGACTAGAATGTTCTTAACCCCATGGATTTGCCGAAGGATCCGTTTTACAGCCAGTTCTTTTAGCAAAGCGCATCTCTACCCACCTAATATTAATTTTCTGCAGGAAATTAACAATACATGCTGGTGAGAGTGGAGGACGTGATGCCATTCAGGGGCGAAATAACGGGCCATGGATGTCCAGATGCAGATGCTGTTGGTTTTCAGGCTTTGGGAAGTCAGGGGCCAGCGTAGGAAGGAGCAGTGTGCTTGTGGCTGCCTATTCCTGAAGCTGGGGAAGCTGTCATTAGAGATGGATGGTGTCTGGGGGAAACCCTGTCTCTGGTCTCGCTTGCAGCAGCAGACGGGGAGCAGGGCAGAGCCCTCAGGGGACCCTGCCCACCTCAGCCTGGCTCCCCGGCTCCAGGTCTTGAGTGCCTGGGCTACACCCATCACCTTGGAGTCTTCCCCAGATATCTGCCAGGAAGGCCAACCTCGGTCTGGGAGCCGGTCTGGGGGTCATACTATGTCTCAGGTCTTCTTAGGGCACTGAGTGCAGACATTGTTAAGCCCATAAATGGACAGGGTGCAGAGGCTGCCCTGTGAGATGCGAGAGTGGACAGGAGCGAGCTGGGTGTGCAGGGGGAAGGCCGGTCTGAGGCCACACCTGTCCCCCTCGGGGCCCCTCCACCTGGTGGGGTACAAGGGGCATTTGCACTGGAGCTTCCTTAGAGTCCAGGAGAGGTACGAAGGCCACAGGAACAGATCAAAGGCGTCAGAGTGAGGAGAGGGAAGGCTCCTTTGAAGAGGATTCTTCTATGCCAGTGAGGTGGTTGGTCATTGAGGGTTGAGAAGGGCTGAGGGAGTTGGATCTTGAGACCCCTGCTCCATGGCCAACTCTGGAGGGGCAGGCAGTGAGGACATAGAAGCCATGGGCTTGATCCCCACCCCAGACATTTCTCTGCTTGAGGTGGGCAGGTGCTGGCGTGGCTGGGCCTACCCCTGCATGGCCCCACCCCTCCTCCCATTGGCCCATGGAGTCCCTGCTTCTTCATGTCCGCGTTTTATGGCCCAGAAATTAGGAAGACGGGAAAAAACAACAACAACAACTTTTTCTTGGACCTTGTAGATGGAGAGACTCTAATTTCAGACTTTTACTTGGATCCATGTTGTGCAGCCCTTTGGCCTGTAACACTGGAAACGTTCTGACTTCATTGTAGTAACTTAATAGACATGAAGACCATTTGTGGTTTGATGGTAGGAGATGCAGAGAACCTGGGAGCTGCTGGGGGATCGATCTTTCATAGACAGCGCAGCGATGCATTCACAGCTCTGCACCTGCTCTTACAGCCCAGCCCACCTGGAAGGAAAGGGGACCATGCAGGGTGGAAGCCTCCTTGGCCCCGGGGCTGCAATGATTCCTTTAAGGATAGATTAGAGCAGCGGTTCTCAACTTATGGGTCACGACCCCTTTGGCGGTCGAACGACCCTTTCACAGGGTCGCCTAAGACCATCCTGCATATCAGATATTTACATTATGATTCATAACAGTAGCAACATTACAGTTATGAGGTAGCAATGGAAATAATTTTATGGTTGGGTCACAACATGAGGAACTGTATTTAAAGGGCCAGAAGGTTGAGAACCACTGGATTAGAGGGAATCTATCACATCAGGTGAGATGCACAAGTAGCTCAGGTGAAGCATCTGGCAGTGGGTAGGGCTGCATACCCTGTCTCAGGCCCCAGATGTGCCCTGTCCCACCACCAGCCAGAGCAGGTCTGTATAACAGGAAGAGCCATGCACACCGATCCTTCCCTGAAAGGCAAGTGGACACCGGCCCTGTGTCCCAGGCCTGCGGGCCAGCATGTGCTTCCTGGGCCGGGATCCTAGTGTGGGCACTGTCAGCCCCTCCCCAATGTCCTGGGCCCTGACCTGTCCACCAGAGGGCAGTGGTGCATAACTGTGTCCATCCACTGGGTCCCAGCGAGTTGCCCGAGGGCGGTGGCCACCCTTTGAGTGGCTGACATCCTGATGGATCTATGGCAGGGAGGCCACAACCATGTGGAAATGGTGCTGCCACTCAAACCTTACCCAGGAAAGGGAGGTTTGCTTGGGAGCCTGGAGTCATAGCTTCGTTGCATGAAGAGGACAAGGG